TCTGCCACTTTAAGCACATCTGAATCTGTTCTTCCATAAATGTTTTTAATGCCTGCATCAGATTTTTTGTGATGGCAAAACTTTCTGCTTCATAAGAATATCTAAATTGTATAAACAGCCAAGTCATTTGAGACCCACTTTACAATATACACTTTGGCATCAAATAGAATGAGACCATTTTTGGTGGAAAAATAAAGTGTGGTTATAAAATAATGAAATTTTTTTTTTCTTTTTAGGAAGAGGCTCATAAACTGGCTTTGAAAGAAGTTTCAGATAAAGATTGCCCAAAGCATTTGAGGAATGACAGCATCAATGGGACAGAGGTATAAATTCTAGGGTGATACTTGCAAAGCTAACATTTGAGTGACAGAATGAAAAGAGGCTATATTGCATTAAGACATATTTGAAGTAAAATGCTAGCACTGCTACTTAGTAATATGATCTAGAGTAAATGAGTTAATTTGTTTGAGCCTTAGTTTCTTCACCTATACAACAGAGTGAATAAAGCTGAACTTGCATATTGTAATGGGATAAAATATTTGAGCATATATAATAAAGTGTCTACATCTGACATGAACTTGGAACTGAGCAAAAAAAGTCCCTGACTCCATGACATCCTGGGTACTATTATGTGGCCATCTGTTGGCAGACCTAGCATGCAGATTAATGCTATTAAAACTGCAATTAAATTGCTTCATGGTTTAAGTAGGGTATTGTGAGATCAGAAAATATATTGTATTCTTTATATAAACCTTTTATAAGTAACCCCTGTTCTTTAGGCACAATGCTATGTTCTGGGTATGTACAGAAAAGTGATCCACTCACTAGAGGCTCAGAGTCTAGTAAGGAGATACAAAATGTGGAATATTATAACATAAGATAGAATTATAATAAAGATATGCTAGTGTGCACTGGATAGGAAGTAGTTAATTCTGTCTGTAGCAGAAAGGGTTTAGGGAAGGATTGGTAAAGAAAGAGACCATTACACTAGGGTTTGAAAGAAAACTGGACATGTACTAGGGGAAAGAGGGATGAATGACAGTTGTCATTCGCCTGACAGAAGAAACAGCTGGGCAAAGACACACAGACAGAAGCACTGTTTGTGCATGTGAGAAACGGTACACAGTTTGCATGGTGTACATAGTGTGATTAGAGATGAGCTGAACATACAGGTAGCAGTTAGGTTGTAAAAAGTTGTGCCAAGTACCCAAAAGTAAATCCTTGCTAATGTGAATAAATACTTTTGGACACCAAGGGTACCAAGGCTAGTCAATGTGGGAAAAACAGTATTTTCAACAAATGTCACTGAAAAAACTGGATATCCACATGCAAAAAAAAAAAAAAAAATGAAGATGGACCTTTACCTAGCACCATACACACAAAAATTAACTCAAAGTGAGTCATAGACCTAAACATGAGAGCTAAAACTATACAACTCTTAGAAGAAAACATAGGGCAAAGCCTTCAGAACGTTGGAGTTGGTGATGATATCTTGAATATGACACAAAGACACAAGCAACAAGAGCAACAGAGTAGACAAACCAACTCACAAAAACGAAAAACTTTTGTGCACCAAAGGGAACTGTTAACAGAGTGAGAAGGCAACCTACAGAACAGGAGAAAACATTTGCAAATCATCTATACGATAAGGATTCATATCCACAATTATAGAGAATGCCTGTAACTCAACAACAATAAACAACCCAACTTAAAAAGGGGCAAAGAAATTGAATCAATATTTCTTCAAGGAAGATAACAGGTATCTCACTTTTTTGAAAGTTCATGTTACACCGTTTTCCTCTTACAGAAGATCTATATTAGTACCTGTTTTCACCAACCAAAAGAAACCCAAAGAGGATTTTTGCTTTGATGAAAAAAAAAAAAGCAAAAACAGCGTTAAGTATTTTTTTGTAGCCAGCATGCACCCCAAGAAGCTAGAGTGGTACCACAAAGCCCCTTCCCTGGGAACTACACTCAGCATCAGGCTGCCATAGCTTTCAACTGTGTGACTATCTGTGTTTTATCATGATTTTTATTGTGTAACCATTAGCAAGATGTGTCCTAAGGTATTAGAAAAGCCTAGGAGACATTATTTTTTGGGTGCAGGGATGCCCAAAACTTTCCCCCTATAAATTAATGGTAATTGCTTTTGCACTCCATGCCATTTCGGCTTACAAAAGGTTTTCACTGGGACACTCTACTTTTGATAGTGGGGGACACCTGTATATGAATGGCTAATAGGCACCTGAAAGGATTCTCAACATCCCTAGTCATTAGGGAAATCCAAATCAAGACTCTAACATGCCAATTCATACCCACAAGGATGGATACTATGTAGACAATAGAAATTAAACAAGTGTTAGATTGTGGAGAGACTGAGGGCCTTGTGCCTTTGTCGGTGAGGATATAAAATCATACAGCTACTGTAGAAAACAGTATGGTGGTTCCTCAAAAAAATTCAAAATAACCATATGATCCAGCAATTCTGCTTCTGGCTGAATATCCAAAATAATTGAAAGCAGGGTCTGAAAGATATTTGTACACCCACATCCACAGAAGCATTATTCACAACAGCTCAAAGATGAAGGCAACAAGAGTGTCTATCAACAAATGAATGGATAAGCAAAATGCAGTCTATACATACAATAGAATATTATTCAGTTTTTAAAAAGGAAGAAAATTATGGCACATGCTACACCATGGATGAACTATAAGGGCATGATGCTAAGTGAAATAAGCCAGCCACCCAAGGACAATTATCGCATGATTCCACTTACATGAAATAACTGGAATAGTCAAATGTATAGAAAAAGAACGTAGAACAGTGGTTACCAGGGGCTGGGGGAGAAGGAAGTGGGGAGTCACTATTTGCAGAGTACACAATTTCAGTTTAGGATGATGAGAATGTGCTGGAGACGGATCGTGGCTCACAGCAGCACCTTAACATGAGCGTACATAATGTCACTGAACGGTATACCAACAAATGATTAAAATGTAAATTTTATGTTATGTATATTTTACCAGACTAAAAAAGAAAATAACTTTATTCTTCTTTCTCTGTTGATTAATAGGTACAGAGTTTTGTTTTTTAAGATGAAAAGAGTTCTGGAGATGGATGGCACATGGTTGCACAATATTGGGAATATACCTAGTGCTACTTACACTTAAACATGGTTAAGACAGTAGATATATTATGTGTATCTTACCACACTAAAAAAAAAAGTCCTACTAAGACCAAGAAATTTAAATATATCCTGGAGGAATGGGAAATGGTCAGTTGTTTCAATGTAGGAGAGTGACCTGTCAAATTTTGTAAATAGGTTCATATACTTACAGGTATATAATCATTTTATTCACGAAACAATAAGGAACCATTTCATACTAGTAAAAATCCCACTGGACAAATGAAAGAACTTTTAACTAAGCAATGTCTATATATAATGAGACTTTTCAAATGACATTTTCAAAAAAGATTTTATTTATTTGAGAGAGTGAGGGAGAGAGAAAGAGAGAATGAGCAGGAGGAGATGGAGAAGCAGACTCCCTGCTAAGCAGGGAGTGAGACATGGGGCTCGATCCTGGCCCCCTGATTGTGACCTGAACCGAAGGCAGAAGCTTAACCGACTGAACCACCCAGGAGCTCCTCAAACGACATTTTGACTCAATAAATGCGTGAACTTTTGACAGGTGTTCTTCTAGATATGTGCAACCACACTATAGCAATATCAAATGCTCTGGGTGCTTACTGATGTTCAGGTCTTCACAGAACATAGCTGACGGCCAAATACATTTTTTTTTTTAAATTAAGAAGGCATGGGTGGTCGACACAGCAGTGAAATTAAAGGCACAGGAAAAGGAGACAACACATTTTCTTTAGAAGCAAATCCATCAATTCTGACTTCTGATGCTTAAGAATCTGCCTTCTCCTTTTAAAGGGGAATAATCCTTTGTGATTTTTGCAACAAATGCCACTTACCCGTTCTTTGCTTAGAAAGGAGGGAGATTTGTAGGGAAAAGAGGGCTGGGAAGTCAGTTGGAAAACATCAGGGCAATGTCAGTCTGAAAATCATCAGCCAGTTGCAAGTTAAAAAAGATTTGCTAAAAGTAGCAATGTTTTTACTGGTTCAAGTCTGTCAGAAGGCTTTGGATTTTCTAGTGCCTCACACCAGTAACTTCAAAACTAACTCATTCCAGATGTCCCTATGATCATCTAATCAGACATCAAAAGCTGTATGGTGACAAGCTCACATGCTGCTTATGAGGACGTTGTATGTTTCCACAAGCGTAAAACACATACAGTAGCTACTTTTAAAATGTGATTCATCTAAATCAGAATTCTATTTACAAGTACAGAGGTATTAGGAAAGGGGCCACCCTCTTGAGAAGGAGAGAAATCTTTTAAATGTCTGTACAGTGTCATTCTATGACTAAAGTTTGAAAGGAAAAACCAAAATGAAACTTGTACTTCAGAAGAGTTTGTGTTGTGAGAAAAAAGAAATCCCCCATCAGAAGAGATTTCTAAGAATCACACCATGCTCAAGGAAAAAAAAATCTTTTCCTCTCAATAACAGTCATTTTGCATCTTTCCAAGATAAACCCCATGAACTCCCTTTCCTTCCATGCCATCATTTTTCAGTAAATGTCCACAACATGGAAGGTCCATCAGAACAGGGAGACATAGATATGGTCCATACCCTTCAGCTTTCACTTGAAAGCAACATGATCTACTTGTACTTGAATCTTCAGATTTAAGTTCTGCTCTCTTCTACAGAATTTAAGTGTGCTTATGTATGGGTGTATGCCTTTTTATTGCTGCCTTTGTGTATTTGGCCTTTTAAATACACACACACACACACACACACACACACACACTCCACCTTAATATTATTACCCTGAGCAATAAAAATAAACTTCGGTGTTTTGGATAGAAATACAACCTCATTCCATGAACAACTACAAATATTGAGGTATTAAGAGGAAATTTAAAGTTGAATTCATACCCAGCAAGTTAATTCACATCTGGAACCATGCCAGTCTGGATGTTTCAGTCCCTAAGAACAACAGAAGTTCATATAGGATTTCTATTTATTATTTCCTTTTAGTCACATGAAATTTGAGGAAATCATGCACAATTTAAATAATTTACTCAGGATCACTGAGTTATTGCTGCAATCAGAGCACAGGAGCTTAACCTTTAGAATAAAGCTACTTTAAACATCACCTTTACCAAATTTTAAACAACACTGTCAAATTACATTTGCCCACACAACTAACAAGAGATGTTCATTAGTGTTTTCACTAAGAAACACCTTGTAAATGTTCCCATACTCTTGAATTAATTCACATACCAGGATTTTTTTTCTTCTTTTCTTCCAAATCTCTTGAAACCAGAAGAACCTCTTAAAGAAAATGGAATAGAAGGAACATTTCAAAGGGGGAAATCTGCAGATGTAGTAGGCATACGAGAGGGATGTTGTCCAGACATTTCCAGTCTAATCAAGGATTTTCTAAATTCTTTGAACACAGTTAGAAAATTACAAAGCTGTAACTGCCAACCAAGATCATGGACTTTTGGATTCTAGAACTCACAGTTTTGTTGACAAAGACGTAGAGCTCAGATAATCAACTCCCTCGCATATGTATTAATTTCTATTCTCTGTTCATATATCAAGGGCATAAGCAAAGTTAGGCTTTATCAAGTTCATCTCTAGAATTATCAAAGTTTGTTGTCTTCTTATAATTTCTGTTCTTTCTCACAGCCAATTTCTCTGTGAAATCACTGCTAGAACTGTAAAAGAGATGAAGTAGTTCTCACAATTCAAACTGCTGACCTGAGCCATCAACCCACATTTTAATTCCAAGCGGAGAATTTGCATTTAAACATCTCTCTCCCCTTGTCAACACAGGTAACACATTGTCCTAAAGCAGAAAATGCAGAACTAAAGCTATTTAGGGAGCAAAATAGTATGTTGGACAGGTTAATTTCATGATTTTCACATTCTAATTCATACACTCATTCATATCTATAATACACATCCACACAAGCATGCACATCTCTACAAGATGTGTTCAAAGTTGTCGAATTCATTCTGTCCATCTCAGAAGTAACACTTTTAATTATCTGGTCATATATTTATGTGTCAGGTGTTGGGGGCTTGGATACAAAAATGAATCTATTGACTCATGCCTCTGAGGAGCTCCATCTTGTGCCAGACGTGTAAATAAGTAGTTATATTCGGGTGGGATAAGAGCTAACAGAGATTCTGCACATGGGAATTCCCTCGAGGGAGGGGCATGGGAGGCTGAGCAGAGTGCAGACTAAAGGCAAAGGGCACAAATTCTGATCCTTAAAATGTAGTATTTGATCATTTGATACTTGCTTACAGATTGCTAGGGTTTTTAATTACTTCAGATTTGGTCATCATAACCAGGCTGTAAGTTTCCTGAGGACAAGGACCATAACTTAAGTTTTCCAGATGGTACAGAGCAGAGGTCTTGGGCATCTGGAAAACTTTTAACAATTTATGTTGACATGGAAGCAAAACTCATTCAATTTTCTTTTTTTTTTTTTAAGACCTTCCTTCCTTCCTTCTTCCTTCCTTCCTTCCTTTGAGAGAGAGAGAGAGAGTGCCCAAGAAAGAGGAGGGGCAGAGAGAGAGAATATCCAGCAGACTCTGTGCTGAACATGGCGCCCGAAGCAGGGCTGAACTCAACCCTGAGGATCATGACCTGAGCTGAAATCAAGAGTTGAACGCTTAACTGACTGAGCCACCCAGGTGTCTCCTTCCAATCTTCATTACAAGCAGATCAATTTAAACAGCAAAAGATGACATGTCATGGTTATTTTTTAAATTTTTGAGACTAACCTCTGAATAGTGGTCCTTCTTTTAAACTTTCAGTTCCGGACTAGACCCAAGAAGAATGATCGGGGAGCATACATCTAAACAGGAGTCACATTTTCCAGATTCCTTTATTAGTCATGGTACAGACATTCAGACAATCCAAATTTGTTTCACCAGCTTCTGTAAGATTTGGTGAAAAATTTTGTTGCAGAAAAAATTAGGCTTCTGGATTTTCCCTACCTGGAACTCAAGTCTTATAAACATAACTGCTTCAGAAATTAAGCTGCCTCAACTTGCCAAACTAAGTAAACATCTGGCCCCATGAAATACTGGATGGCAGTGTTATCTCTTGAAAACAAAGTCATATGAAAACCATTATTGCAATGTGTCTCCAAGCTTTGGTTTTATCAGCACACAGCGTGAACAGCTGGAGTTAGAAACACCAGGACTATTATTAAATCACTGTGTCAGGAAGGGAGAAAAAAAAAAAGAAAACCTTTTGTAGGCTTCAGTATCTCTAAATAATGCAATTATATATTACATGCTTTTTCTTCCTCCCTTTTGCTCACTGGTATCCATCTCTCCTCATTGGAAGACAATGAATAGAGCCTTCCTTCCAATCTACATTCCTGTCTACAACAATTAATTTATTGTACAGCTACTTAATTGTCTATCTAAGGGAAAGAAAAATATGATTTGGTTATTCAAAATTTTTGTTAAGTTTCTATGTTGGGTTTTGACAGTTAGGGACCCACAACCAAAAGTCCTCTCACATCTCTCAGTGACAATTTGATGATTTTCATCCTAAAAACCAAGCCACTTAAATTTCTCTCTAATATTTCAATGATTTCTTTCATGGACGTGAAAATATTTAGGCCAAGATCAACACTGATGACGATTTCAATATATGTGACACACAAAGGAAAATTTCTCAAATCAATGTTCCATCATCTTATCTGCAGAACACAAAGAGAACGCTCCTATTCATTGGAAATGCTTCCTTCCCCTCGAAGCTACCTGCCACTATCTTTGCTGATAAAATAGGAAAAACTACCAAGAACCATCTCATCTCCCTTAACATGCAAGACCACTGGAAACACTTCTCCCCAGGGTGTCTTCCCTTTGCCTCCAATCTTACGCTTGCTGAGAATCAGGTTGCTACTCACTAAAGAGTTATTCCTGTCCTCTCAAAGCAGCAATTCAAAAACTTCTATTCATCCTTACATCTTGAAAACGTTTATAAGCTTTGTGTTGGATAGGCAAGGTGATAATAAGATGAAATAGCCTTAATTATTTAATATTTGGGGGGTGGTGTCAATTCCCACTGCATTCTTAATCTCTATCATTCATCAGATTCTGAGGATTGATGGCTTTCCCACGTTGTTTCATCCTAAACCTGCAAACAAGTAGTTCTTGATCATTTTTTTCTTTTTAAAATTTGGTAAGATTGAGAGTCTCAAAAAAAAAAGTAATAGAGTCTCCTTCACAAAAAAATGCATGCACGTGCAACGGTCTACAGCATCAAACTTCAGAGTTAACAGACCCTCTGACACTCATTCATGGACTCCCAATTTAATAACCTAAAGTATTGCCATGTTATTTTTTAAAAAGAAACAGTATACGTTGTGGATATGAACTTTTAAAAGACAGAGCAATATTTTCTTAATTTATTTTGGTGATGCAAGACAAGTAACAGTTTTAGAACAAACAAAGTCATTTACTATCCAAGAACAACCGCAGCATTATAATTTTCAGGAATTCACTTTTTAATTTACTCGCCCTGCAGGATCATTTTGCTTTAGGGGTTAAATGTGAAACTATAAACAGTCATTAAAACACAAAACAACCATAGTAGTTAACCGGATATTAAGAAAAAAATCACATCTGTTTTAGAGTTCTCTTCCACCCACAAATTCGGGAACATCAATTTCAAGAACCTGGTTTTATGGCATGCCCTTAAGCCAAGAACACCAGGTTACAATCAATGCTAGGAGGTAAGACATCCCATCAGCAGACTCCCACTATTACATCTTGCCCCCAGGATTCTCTTTCTTTAATTCAAAAGCAGTCAGTAGAATTGGATTTTCTATTGCCTTGAAAGATAAATAGTCATTACGATTTGCACATTAATAATTATGCTATTCTGATTAACTGATGGGTTTATGAAAAGAGTAAGAAAGAAAATAAATTTCCATGCTGTTTAGCTGGTGGTACCCTAAGTAACAAAGAGTGAGATTTGGTGGCTTTTCAATACACAGAATCCGAGACTTGTAGAGAATTTGATTTTTCTAATTTGAACTCTTTTTAAAACTTCAACTTGTCTGAGGGTGTACATCTTAAATAACCAATTTGTAATAATTTAAGCAGCCAGAAAACAAGTGCAACTTCTCCAACTTTTCACAAACATGCATCTCTGGGCATCAGAGAAAGTTCTTCCTGCTATAATAAGCCTAATGAAGTGCAAGTAAAAATAACAGTCATCAACTGTGGCTTTAAAGGCAATATTTCAACATAATCAAATGTGTCAAATATTCATCCTTCCAGCTTTTTAAGCTGTGGGTTATAAGTAAGTTTCATTTCTTGGGAATGATTGAACATAACCCACTTGGGGCTCTGCCATCTGTGAATTACTTACATGTGAACACTCTGTTTAAGAGATGGAAATTTTGATTGTTTTTCTTCCTTTGGATATTGAAATGCAATGCAATTGAACAGAGTTTTTAAGCAATTATTGTTCATGTTAGTTGCACCATGGCTGAATTATCACACACTCCCCATATTTATCATCACTTATTAATTCACGGGCATCAAATATGGTGCAGCTGAAGTTGTGGAGGAAGCACCAAGTGGAACTACAGAATCTGAGAGATGGGAAAGAATCTGCAGTCTCCAGTTGTGTACTCCCTGGGCTCAGGGGCTGTCCACACAAACCCCTCTCTGCAGTGTGCTCCGGTGTGAGAGTTGTGGTTGTGTTCCCATGGTTTCCTTGAAAGGCCGTTCCTCTTATCGCTGAGCAAACAATGAAAGTGACTATGGGGCTATATGTAGGGTGCCACATAATTTATCATCCGTGCATGGACACCTCTGAGAGTTAGTGGGGACACTATTAATAATTATGCCAGAACAACAGGCACGAATGAGGACTGCCCCAGGCAAACCTAATCATACTGTTACCCCAGAGATGATATGCAACTCAGAGAACTTCTCCCAAGGGTCTCAAACCATTTCATTAATGCTATATCCAATTTTACTTCTGTTTAGAGCTGTTCTGTCCAATGGAAATAGAATGTGAGCCATAGATCTAATTTTAAAGTTTCTAGCAGCCATGCTTTAAAAAGAAACAGGTGAAAATAATTTTGATAATATATTTTACTCAACCTAATATACCATAGTCTTATTTCAATGTGTAGTCAACATAAAAGTTATTAATGAGGTCTTTCATATTACTCTTTTTTATATCTCAATCTTTAAAATCCATTATGTATGTTACACTCGAATTACATTTCTAGTGCTCAATAACCACGTGTGGCCATGGCTATAATATCGGACAATGCAGTCTAAATACTCCATGAGTTAGGATACGCAGGAATAAATGAACAGAATCATAACACACACACACACACACACACACACACGCACGCACGCACGCGTATTTTTTTTCTGGGTAAAAACAGACTCAACTAAATGTCTTCCTTTTCTAACTTTGCCTGCTTTTCATAGCATAGCAATTAAACTATCTGTTTCTTGCCTGAGGTGAACCAGACTTTGGAGCACATACAACTTTACCTGGTAGTTGTTTTGGGGAACAGAGAGAATGGCCAAATTAGAAAAGGTGGGTAAACTGCTGAGAAATTCTAGAACTTTTCCCAGACTAATATGTGCCTGCGCTCCTAAGTCTAACACATATGCAGTGAGCACCCTCCATGTACTTAGCACTAGAAATAGAAAGATAAATAATAAGCACAATGTTTGCACCTTGGACTGTTAAGGCTTAAAGTTTGCTTGGACATTATTTTACAACTGAAAAAAGAGAAGGCTAGGATGTGCCAGTGTTCTGTGGCAAGCCAAAGACCAGAGTCTATTCTTTGGGGTCTGCATTTCATCAGCCACAGAGAACACTGAGGAAAGGAAGAAATGTATTTTCCTTTTTACTGTTGATACAGACTCAGCCACTGCTTGGTACCTTGCATACGGTTAGGATCTGGGGAGCCAGCCTTTCTTCTTGAATCAGGATTTGCATCTTTGCTAGTAATAATATACTCCCTCACCAAATACCTCAACTTAGAATTCAAGCGTATTCTAGTTTGGTAAGAATACGTAATCTATAAGAAATATAATAGTCCTCATTTCCTGTAGGGAAAGCAATATTGAGTATTTTCAATTAGTCTAAACACAGAACCTAAGTGATAAAAACATTGAACTAAATACTGGTGATTCTCTGCATGTAAGTGATGATAACACAATCAGATACACTCTGACTTGGGGTATACTGACATTGTAAAAATAAGCAGTAAACTGTAACTTTTCTCATTTATATAGCTTCTCTTCCTCCAATCCAATATACTTGGGCTTCACACAGTCTCAATCAGTGTGTTAAATACTGTTTCTGTTTAAACTCACCATTAAAGTAGAACACACACACATGATTTTTATTAAAGTAATGTTCCATTAAATATGTTTCCTTAAAAGGATGGTGGGGAAACATTACATCTAAAATACTATGAGGACACCTGGGGTGCCTGGGTGGCTCAATCGTTAGGCGTCTGCCTTCGGCTCAGGTCATGATCCCAGGGTCCTGGGATCGAGCCCTGCATCGGGCTCCCTGCTCCGCGGGAAACCTGCTTCTCCCTCTCCCACTCCCCCTGCTTGTGTTCCCTCTCTTGCTGTGTCTCTCTCTATCAAATAAATAACTAAAATCTTTAAAAAAAATAAAATACTATGAGGACACTTGCTTCCTTGTTTACAGAAAGAAATATGCTAAAATACTGCCACAAACTTATTAGCAAATACTCAATGGTTTGGTATAGTGACTCCTAACTCATATACATTGTCAATGGTTCTTGAGAAGAACCTTTTATACCAAACTGGTGAGAATCTGGTTAGTTCATTCAGCATCCTTATATAACTCTAAAATATTGCTTTTTTTTCTTAAGGCACTATAGACAGTGAGACTTAAAATGGGGAAGAGCCTTGCTATTAGGAAACTTTTAAATATGGCTACATTATTGAAGATCACCTATTGCAAAAATATATACCCATTAACCAAAATCCAACTCTCAGGCTATTTCCAAGGATGGACCGCAGTCACAACTCTTCCAAGTGACTCAGGATTTATCAGAAAGATCCGACGGTACCATATGAAAGGAGGACATTATCTCTTCAGGATTCATTCTCCATTTAACCCATCAGTTATAAGTGTGTCTTGTTATAAGCACTTCTGGTATTTAATTTTATTTTTGTTTAATTTGGATGTTGAGTTCTAGAAACCCAGTCCTGGCACCACATACACATGATATTGGTATCTTGAAACTCTATGACCATTCACCATGGCAGGACTTCACAAAGCTCTGCATTAACACACTGAAAATATATAAAATGATATCCTTGGGCATTACTAAAACAGGAGGATGGAGGAAATTCAACAATGTGGTGTGCTGGTTAAGAGCACAGACTTTGGAACCAAACCACCTCGGTTAAATTCTTGACTGTGTCACTTACTAGTTGTGACCTTAGATAAACTACTAAACCTCCCTCTGCCTCAATGGCATTATCAGTAAAATGGAGGCAAAAATTTGTGCCCACCTTGATGTGGAAGTTTAAATGACTTTTTGTAAAGCACTTAAGAGTCCTTGAAACATAATCAGTGCTATGTAAATTGTTAGAATATAAGTTCTAGTGATAGCTCATAGTTGCTATTACTAATACTATATGTCCTATCAAATACTCTCTAATGATCAACTTACTTAAGACTGTGAAGTCCCGGTTAGTCTATGGGTAAGGCACTTTGATCTTTCATTAGAAAGGCAAACTGCAGGATACCTACTAGAATAACAGGTTTCAGACTCTGGCCACTGGGGTGTGAAGCACTTGGCTGGGCATCAGCAGGTGGGCCTGGTGCTGGGTCACTGCTTCTCCTCACCAGCAGTGGAGTGCCTGTAGGACAAAATAAGAGGTGAGAGGTCAACAGAACCCTGGGGAGAAGAGAGTGCATGGTACAGTGCAATTTAATTAAAAAGGTTTACAACATGCTTTTATGTAAAAACATTCTATTTCTAAGGATGCTTGTAAATTAATCCATTTAATGATCTTTTGTCATCTATTTACAGACTGACACATAGAAACAAAATCTTTCAACTCTCATCCTTTCCCACTTGCATTTCAAAACAAGTCATTGTACTTAACCAAAAACGATTAGGGAATGCAGAAGTTGACAGTGTGCAACTGCAACTGATCTAGAGAATGTATCTGAGTATTAAAAAGAATGATTATCCAGCAGACAAGTGAAGAGATTCACACAGTCAGTGCAATTTGCTATTCAGTAGAGTTAGAAGTATAGTTATTGCTGCCATTTGGTGCTTCCTAAATCTTTTGAATGATGATATACACTGAAACATATTATTTGCTGGGGTTATAGCATTAATGTCTATTTAAGTACAGAAAGAGATTGACTCCATTATCTTCCTTTTCTCCCAAAGTTGATAAAACTGATAAGGAAAATAAGTTAGTTCTTCTAAAAATATATCTTGATTTCTTTTTAATATAATGAAAGCTTCCACTATTAAATATTTGAGCCAGTTATTAAATTCTGAGAAAAGATCATACTATTAGAAAGTTCAAGTGAAATCCAACCTTAACAGAGCTGGCGGCCTAACTAGTCTGCCTGCAATTAGGCCTAAAATAATTTGTTTCATACAAAATTGGCCACTGTAGAGGAAATTCTCAAAGAAGTCCTTTTGTGGTCTAAAAATTGCTCTCATGTAAAAATTAACTTTTTATTTGCATGCTTTGGGGAAAAAGTGGAAAAGAGTAGAACTGCAATTCTCCATTTATCAATATTCTGCAAAATCTTCCCCAACTCTCTCGAGCTATTGCTGCTTAAAATAACATTTTTTCATATTTCATTTTATATGGTACAGTTACAAAAAGTGAATCCATTTTGAAATTATTTACAAATCTAATTTTTATATGTGCTCCAACATTTTTATTCTATGTACAAAATATAGACACTAATACCTTCCATCTTTGTTCAGACTCTTTTTATCCTTGTTGCTTTTTAAAAAAAATAACTTCTTTTATAATAGGAAATTAACATGCTACTGAGGATGAAACACTAACCAAAAGGTATTATAAAGTCCAAGTTTACGGTCCATTATTTCTTTTCTATTAATAAACATTTCACTACATTATTCCCTAATTCCTCCATTTCCATCTAAAAATTCTTAAGCAAGTGACACAGCAGTGGTTGTATGGCTGGCAACTCTCTTGAATGAGACATTAAAAGGAAATAAGTACAAGAGAAAAATATCATAAAAATCTCAAGACAATAGGGTCCCAGTCCTGTACCACTATCTCCCCTGATTCAGGTGATCTGAATTACCATTAACATAAAGTGGACAAATCAGTCTAAATGTGATATCCTCAGAAGCAACCTATTATCCTAAAAATTAAGAAGAGAATGGGGAAAACTCTGTGAAACTAGTTAGTTTCTAAACATTTAACCCAGACTAGGACATTGCATGCCAACGATCTAAAAACAAACAAAAGCAAGTAGAACCAGCGTGGGACACCAAGATCCAAAAATAAGTTGATTCAGAGGCACAGAAATGGAAATTTTAGTGATTGACAACAGTTTTTTTCAGCTGAGTCATACACATATATATATAAATATATACAGAATATACATATGTGTGTGTGTGTGTGTGTGTGTGTGTGAAAGAGAGAGAGAGAAAGAGAGAGAGAGAGAGAGAGAGAGAGAGAGAGAGAGAGAGAGAGAGA